CAGGCACAGCACTTTGTGAACCTCCATGTGCAGATTTCGTGGCAGGCATAGCACTTCGTGAATCTCCATGTGCAGATTTTGTGCCAGGCACAGCGCTTTGTGAACCTCCATGAGCAGATGTCGTGGCAGGCGCAGCACTTTGTGAACCTCGCGGTGCAGATTTCGTGGCAGGCACAGCACTTTTTGAACCTTCCTGTGCAGGTTTCGTGGCAGGCACAGCGCTTTCTGAACCTCCATGTGCAGATTTCGTGGCAAGCGCAGCGCTTTGTGAACCTCCATGTGCAGATTTCGTGGCAGGTGCAGCGCTTTGTGAACCTCCGTGTGCAGATTTCGTGGCAGGCACAGCGCTTTGTGAACCTCCATGTGCAGATTTCGTGGCAGGCGCAGCGCTGTGTGAACCTCCATGCGCAGATTTTGTGGCAGGCACACCACTGTGTGAACCCCCATGTACAGATTTCGTGGCAGGCACAGCATCTGTGGAGCTGGAAGCTGAGAACTGGCGACTTTGTAGTGCAACTTTAGTACGCGGAGCAATCTGGGGAGGTGGAAGATGAGAACTGGCGACTTTGTAGTACAACTTTAGTACGCGGAGCAATCTGTGGAGCTGGACGCTGAGAACTGGCGACTTTCTAGTGCAACTTCAGTACGCGGAGCAATCTGGGGAGCTGGAAGCTGAGAACTGGCGACCTTGTAGTACAACTTGAGTACGCGGAGTATCTGGGGGGAGCTGGAAGATGAGAACTGGCGACTTTCTAGTACAACTTTAGTACGCAGAGCAATCTGTGGAGCTGGAAGCTGAGAACTGGCGACCTTGTAGTGCAACTTGAGTACGCGGAGTATCTGGGGAGCTGGAAGATGTGGAAGCTGAGAACTGGCGACTTTGTAGTACAACTTTAGTACGCGGAGTATCTGTGGAGCTGGAAGCTGAGAACTGGCGACTTTGTAGTACAACTCTAGTACGCGGAGCAAGCCGTGGAGCTGGAAGCTGAGAACTGGTGACTTTCTAGTACAACTTTAGTATGCGGAGTATCTGGGGAGCTGGAAGCTGAGAACTGGCGACTTTGTAGTACAACTTTAGTACGCGGAGCAATCTGGGGAGCTGGAAGCTGAGAACTGACGACTTTGTAGTGCAACTTTAGTACGCGGAGTATCTGTGGAGCTGGAAGCTGAGAACTGGCGACTTTGTAGTACGACTCTAGTACGCGGAGCAAGCCGTGGAGCTGGGAGCTGAGAACTGGCGACTTTGTAGTACAACTTTAGCACGGGGCTGAGTCATCTCTATTCTGTATTTTGCAAAAATGCATGAACAAGGTTTGCCCTGCGAGACAGTTGACGGTGGTTGCTTCGCTTTCGCTCCATTGGTCGGTTCCAACTTGTTTTGTCAAAGAACATCGCAGCTCGGCGAATCAGCCTGCCACATGCCCAATTCCTATAGGCTTATTCTTTTGGAAACTTCCGCCGCCGGCTTGCCCGGGAACTAGTTGTAGATGCTAATTGATGGTGTCTCCAGCATAAGAGTGCATTGAGTGCTGAGTATGCTTTTGACATCTCTTGACGGAATCCGGTGTGTCTCTTGCTCATCGCGTTGACCTTGTTGGAGCGTGCTTTCATCTTGATTTCATGCTATCTAGCAAGACGTCACCGGAAATGTCAGCTCTGCACGAAAAACAGCATTACCTCCAACTCCGGACGACGTTGGGAGACATTGAACATTTGTTGGATGATTGGGACTTCAAGGTGCATGCTAGAGCTTGTGCCAGGGTGCTAAAAGGTGCACCGCACCCGAAGGAATAAAAGGTGAGCGCCAGATGTGATGTCAGACGTCATTGGATTTTGGAGTCCCTCACCTGTGGCTCCAAGCACCTAAAGCGTATAGTTTTCAGCTTGGTCAGTGAGCTACGGGGCTAAGAACCTGCTGGACATTTGAGTGTGTCATCTCTTGCCAAGTCCAGAAACTTAAAAGGTTTTGCGCAAGATATCCCGGTAGGGTCAACTTTGGAAGCCTTAACAGCTTCTTACGTATAGCCTGCAGAGACTAACAGTCGCGATAGGCTTTCGTGGAGAAGCGACTGAGATGGGACAACCTACCAGACAGACTTGACAAGTCGAACGCGCACTGCTGATTTGAAGCCAGTATGAGTGGTGCACCGCACTGATGAGAATCATGGGCGTGTGAGGGACCCAATGAACTTCTGTAGCTTCCCCTTTGCCTCCAACTCCACCGGGCTTTGTTTCATTTTGGGAATCAGTAATCAGCGCAATTGCTATTCCGGACATGCTTTGCCCAAGCATAACGTTACATAGATGATGCCATTCCGCACTAACAAACTCAGCGATGTGCAAGTTGCAAGCTGAGGTTGTGCGTGCGTGGGATGTGCGTGATGTCTCGGACCAAGTGCACTCAATGGGTGCTAAATGGGTGACGGTGGACTTCAAGGTGGGATGCTCTGTACACATGCAAAACATGGGGAATAAACTAAGCAATGTTTGACGCAGTGCAGCGTTTGCCTCACGAAGTGAACATTAGCTGTTTGGGTACTTGCGGCCAGGAAAGTGGCGAAGGCCAAGGAGGCTACGCCAAGGAAAGTTCGGATGCTTTCAAGAAAGTGCAGCAAGAGACCTTCAGGACTCGTTGCCGAGTGAAATTAACAGAATGAGACGAGGAGAAGCTGCATTTAAAAAGTGACGCTAGCTGTAGCCAGGCTAGTCCATGCTACTCTGTCCCGCGTTCACTTTTTGGGATGTTGAAAGCGCTCTTAAAGAGTGGACCGTTTGATGGAGTTCACATCTGAGCGAAGCGACTGGTGGAGAGACACTTTGGAACTTTTCTGCTTTTGGTCATTCGGAGTCTGAGGGCTCAAAGGTCAGTTTGATAGAGTTGAGCCCCAGAGTTGAAACAGCTCGCCTGCGAGGTCCGCACTGTGCCATAGCAAAAAGGCTGTTGTTTGTGGGGTTGTAGGTCCTTTTCTGTGGATAAGGTGGGAAACACCCCAGAAGCCTGACCTGGCGCCGAAGAGCCAGGGCCAAGACAAGGCTACCCACAGTGTTGAAAGTCAGGAAAGCTCTACAGACTCTTCAAGCTCGCCATTCCTGGCCCTGCTGCAGCAACCACTTGATGGGAGGATGGAACAACAGCAAGGGCAAGCAGAGGAGTTCATGGTGGTCGACGTGGGAAGGAGCCTATCGACAACAAGCCAAGGACAAAGAGAAGGCCAAAAGAAAGGGCCCAGACAAGAAGAAGGAGCAGAAGGGGAACAAAGAAGGAGAAAAGCAGCAGGACGAGGCCGTCGAGTTCCCGGACTACGTTTTTGCCTCCTCATCAGCTAAAGGAGGAAGTGCGCAAGGAGGCGATCAAGCGCTTGAAGGCAAGTGGTGTCGAGCCGAGCGAAAACCTTTCGGAGATGCTCAAAACGGAATCAGCAAGGAGCAGACTCTCCTCGCCCTCTTCTTCTGAGCCTTTAAGCAACCTCAAAGAGGAACAGAAATCCTTAAACCAGAGGAACAAGTTCCTGGTCAAGATGGAGAAAATCCGAAAAAAAGATGAAACAAAAGAAAGACGCTTGGGAGACCCTCGAGAATGGCATGAAGGAACATGTGGCGAAGCAGACGGCCAAGCGTCAGGAAGATATGGCAGCTTTGGAACAGGAGCTGAGAGATGGCGAGGAGGAACTGAGGAAGATCCAAATAGCAAGCCATGGGCCACAATCCAGAGGAACACATGGAGATGCAATGGCTTCGCCGACAGCTTGGGGAGTCTCAGGCTCAGTTATCCCAATTCGCCCCAACTAGTAAGGCCTCCAACGCCACCGATGCAGCCTATCAATGTTGAGAGTCCAGAGAGCGAGGAGACAAAGCGCAGGAGGTTGCTCATGCACACGCAGCTCGAGATGCTGTCCTTCCAGAGGTGAGGGAAAGAAGTCCAAGAAGAGAAGGATCGAATTCTTGGAGAGACTCGACAAGTAGAAACTTTCCCGGAGAACCATGGGCAACGGCATCTCCTGAGGAGTTTTCACGTTGTCCTGGATGAGGGAAAGGTAAGGACAGAGAATGAGAATTGGGAATACAACTACACCAGAATCGACCTGCAAGAAGACATACAACCTTTGTATTTTTTGAAGAAGGTACAGTATGTGCAATGGTCTTCTTTTGGACACCATGACTTTGTGGAGGAGTGCCTTGTGCATGCGTTCAAGTCAAGGCACTAATGCGAGGGATGGAGGAGGTGGTCATGACTTTTTTTTCGAGGACTTTGCGGAGCCAAAGCCATGAACGATGGAATTGAATCTCTCAAGGGACAGAGATACCCAAAATATGACAAGAGTGGCAATCTCCTGAACGACTTCCTTCCAGATTTCCCAGAAGGGAACAGGTAATTGAAGTTCCTGGGGCAGAAGTAAGAAATCCCAGATTAGAAATTGATGACGCCTATACGATCAATCCCCCGCCTAGTGATGTGCTATCCGAGATGAGCCGAATGTGGGATCTTGTAGATCCCATGTTTCTTTTCCAAGGCTTGTCGAAAGGACTGCTGCTTGGTTGGGTTTTTGCCGGACTTTGACCGTGGTGGACATCTGGTTACTTGGTGGATTTGGGCGGAAGAACAGTACACCAGAAGGGACAAATATGGGGTTCCTCATGGTCATTGGCAGTGCGGAGCACTTGACCCATATGAATGTCAGGAAGCTGCTCTAGCGATACGAGGACTTGGGAAGATAGCAGGAGTCTATGCCGCAAGCCTTGTTATCCCAATCTACTCCAGTTACTGGGGAAGATCCGGAGAGAGGGACTTCAACTTCAGGCATCAACCACCCCAGAGAGGCAAGAAGCACAACACAGCACGAAAGAAGGATTTTGGCCCTTTTCTTCTTCTCAACATTGCAGGGTCCCAAGAGGTCTATGTAGTGGAGGAGAGCGGTCGCATGACGCTACCAGACCGTGTGCGACAGAATGGAAGCCACTTTCCCTCTTCACCTTGTGGGGGGAGAGTTGTGCTACTATAAGGACATTGAATCCAAAGAAGGTGTAGGACCTTTCTCGCAGACACAGAAGGAAAACAATGTTTCTGTTTGTGACTGTGATGATACTTTTGAACTTACAAACGGTTCGTGAGTCTCAAGATTTGATTCTATTGCATGTGCATGCGTAGCAGATGGACAAGGGCAGTCCCTTCAGTGGAAATCTTCCACACCGGGAGACAGATCTCAAGAATGAGGGGCAGAATACAGAGGATGAAGACGAAATCTTGATGCACTTCCGTAGAGCTTCAAGGAGAACAGCCGGACATAGAGCCTCCAACGACCCTTGAAACGGTATCTATGGAGATTTCAACGCTCAGCGGAGGTCCTTCTCTACTTGAACCTGTGCGCCGCAGTGACTATGCGGGAGAGGAAGCATTTGACACAGTGAGGCGGTTTATTCTAGACTACTGGCAAACGATGCCATGGTATGGTACACCAACCTCGCAAGTGGTGCAATGCATTGCGGCAAATTCTCTGACTTCGTGCTCAGTGCCCTAGTCTGACACTGACTAGCACACCTCTCTTTCAGGAATGGTGCCAGCAGCTTTGTCGTGCAAGGAATGACTGCAGATATGCGGGAATGGCGCCTCTCAGACATGAAATCTTCCAGAATGTACCAAGTTTCATCATTTTCGAACCGATAGAAGGACAAGTTGCGCCAATGGTCATCCAAATCTGCGCATTTGTATTGTGTGTAAGACAGGCCCAGGCGGAGGACATGTTTGTTATCTGGCACTGGGTTCGAGAAAATATTTTTAGAGGTTTCTTTCCACAGTTTGAGCTCAACGGGGTTCAACTTCGATGGACCCCCTCACGGGAAATTTCCTCCAAGTACAACTCTTCCAAAGTCAGGAGCGGGATCGTCTTGGCCCTCGCTCTCGTCGCGCAGCACCGATAGAAGGACGAACGATTGCTTGACTCTGGAACGGCCCAGACCTACTGGCGGGAGAATACAGGAGGAGCCAGAAATAGATGAAGACCAATTGCAACTACTGCAAGAAGGTCCTATAATCATTGCATCCAAGCTTGGACAGAAAAGCAAGACAGAGAACCTCGATGAACGAGGACACGCCTCAGATGTATCAACTACGATGCAAATGCCGGATTCAAAGGTCTCGCAGTCCATCACACTAGAGTCATTGGGGCCAACTGGCTTGAAGTGGTGCTTTTGCAGTGTACCCGGTTCTGGTCCTGAACACGGCCAAAGATGAGAAGCTTGTTGATCATTCATCAAATCCACCTGGAAGTGGACTTTGTTTGGTCAATAGAAAGTCTGGTGGCGGTAATCAAAGCTGAAACAAGTGCAGTAGTTTCACTTCAGACCAGGGTCACGCTGATCTGGATTTACCCAATGATTGTGTCCAATGAGCAAGCTGGCCATGACGATCTATATCTGCTTTTTGAAGAGGATTTGGGTCCTGATGAAAGAGCAGTGATGATCGTGGTTGAGTACCAAGGCCTTGAGGGAGAGCGCGCTACACTCTGTGCGCCCAGAGTTCCTGCGATTGTTTAACTTATCTTAGAGAAGATAGGCGTGAGTGATACCTGTCGCGAGATAAGTTGTACGTGCATCTTCTCCTTTTGGGCGACCCCTCTTCCTACGAGGTGGTCTACTTTCAATGGGATGAAAATCAATGTCGGTTGGATACCCGAACATGATGTTCCGATCAGAGGACAAATTGCTACAAGGTGGAACACAGGGAACATAGATACTGAGATCGCAATTGTACAGGATTCCTTTCCTATGATGCAGTTCGTACAGCGCCACTTTCTCATCAAGCAGGTAGATGAGACGAGAATCAGCTTCTTGGCCGACTATTCCAATGAGGCTAGAATTTTCATGAGAGCTTGTGTGATTGACACAGCTTTCCCAACACGACGACAAATTTTTGCCCTCGTTGTCCCGGAGCGTAGATGTGATTCAGACACAAGGTGCGCGATTAGACTATGTGAACGAGTCTGTTTTTTGGGAATCAGCAGATGATTCCGAGCAGTACTCAATGTACAGAAGCTTGGGGTAGTCATGCTCCTTCGCAAACGAACTCATCTAGCTCTGAGGCGAACAGAGAATCAGCGACGCAGAAGTATCCCAGGGGAAGCGTTGCAGCGTTGAGTAGAAGTGAGAGTGAGGAAAGGGACCTCGAGCTCCGGACACTTCAAGATGATGAAAGCGTTCAAGACTCCAGTGCAGATCAACCGAGTGATATTGACACAGATGACTTCAATGTCATGCAGAGGAGTGCAACGGCTTCTCAGGCGCATCGAATCACTGGAGGCCGAAGCGCGACTTCAACCACAGCCCGGATCAGTCTCTTTCTGGTCCAAGATGCAAGGAGGTGACATTGTAAGAAGTTATCTCAGTCAACGGAAGCCGGAAATAGAAGGACAAATGCCTCTTGATGCAGTCGCTTATTTTGTGGACAGCCAGAATCAGCTGTGTGACTTACCAAGAGGAGTCAAACTTTTTGGACCACTCAGTCTCACCAATGCATTATGGCAAGCCTGGAGAGACAAAGTACAAGTCGAGGCATGGTTTTTGCTCATGGTGCAGCCGCAACCAGAGGCAATAGCGTTGTTGTGGCAGCCATCCCCTCCAATCGATATCAAGAAGGCTGGACAGAGATCCTTCAAGCAGCACAGCTCACTGAGCCTGTTGAAGGACTGCAGTGGAGATGGACACATGTGGACAGGCGTGGGCTACAGGTCACGAGTAGAGGGGGATTACTGCTGACACTGCAAGCTGATGAACAATGCCCGGAGAATCAGTTAACAGTAAAAAGGAGACGCGCAAATCCGGAACGTCCAGGAGAGGAAGGAGACGCGCGTGCAGCTTTGCAGACAAGCAGACAATTGCAGGTTGACAACGATGAGATGACTCTCATGCAGATGCCGCCCGGCCCTTCGAGTAGAGTCTGGGTCGAGCATTGTTGCACGCTAAGACTCCCTTTGCGTCATCCTTTTCTTTGCGAGACAAGTACAGGACTCCATGGTGCAAGTCAGACAATATAGTGATCCACTGTTTTGGCGCCTGCGCCGACACTGCTCGCTTCACCAGTTTGGAAGGGTTCTTGCGTGGCGTTTCAAGGACCGACAGAGAGGAACGGCAGTGTCGGGAATGTTGATCAGTGATCCAACTCAGACCTTTACTGCGCAGGTCATACGATCTGCGGAAGCATGGCGTTCCACAACCGGTCGTTCTGACCATGCTCCCACAGGCGGACTGGTACTATGACTGTTTGGAAGGAGTAGGAGTGGTCGCAATGTCGGAAAGGGACTATGCTTCCGACTGGCAGGGAGATTAGAAATGGTAGGAGTATGGTGTACAGGGCAATACGCTCCAAGGTGATTACCAAGCTTGGATACGGAGGGTGGTGCAACGCACGACATGTCTGTAGATTGTGGTATCGACATCACTTCAAACAAAGAGATTTTGTGATCCTTCTTCCACAGGCATCGTTTGTGGCAGTTTCCATTCTCTATAAACCAGATCAGACCTTTGGCCAATGTACAATGCAGCGCGCAGAAGCACGTGCTGCAGTTACCAGGAGCCAACTACAGGACCTGATGCGACAGAGAAGGCGGCCCACAATCGAACCACCTGGTCAGGAGCCACCAGATACGGAGTCAGATGAAAGGGAGTATGTGGATCTCACACAACGCACAGTTGAGGTCAGGGCTACCCCACGACCTGCGTCCAAGCTCTGTGTGGGGAAACGCAATGGAGGTCTTTGCCAACCCCCCGGTCTCCAAAATAGCAGGCAGGAAGGAAAGACAGAGGAGACGGCTCTAACGCGAACAGTGGCAGCGCATCTTCAGGTTACTGATTGCAGTGGCCTGTGAAAGGGGACTGCCACTGCTCAAAACCCTACATCTCACGCGGAGACATTTCATGCAACAGTGGCTGCAGCATGGACGGGACATTGTCTATGCACATTATAGACAACAGGGGCCAGGACAGTGGGAGAACAAGGTTTTAGGCTGCAAATTCCTTGAGTGAAGCCAACAGCTGTCCAATTTCGAAGATCGGCGACATGGTCATCCCAATTGATGGACCTTGGGACATAGAACAGCAGTGATCTTTCATTGGGACTCTCAATCGGTTGGAGGGCAGGAAAGACCCACGCGAACACACAAATTGCAAAGCTGGTACGCAATGTTGTCAGGGCCCTTGAGGCATGGCTGGGTCCAAGCAATCTGACGCACAGGTATGCGCCAGCTCATCAAGGACATGTCTTTAATGAACTCGCTGATGTCCAGGCGAAGAAGGCACGCCGATCCTGGATAGTCAACAGTGTCTTGACAGGTGGGTCCGGCGTTTTGCAGACAGTAGACCTATCCAGGTGGCAGATCTTGCTGAGAGAGTCAACGAGAGGCAACGACAGGTCTGCAGACCCAGCAACTACCTCCTGGAGGACATCCCGAAGATGAGTGCTCTGGAAGCAGCAATTCATAGAGCAAAGTACAACAAGGCTCCTTGACTGGATGGCATCGTGGGGGAACTATTGAAAGGGGACCCAGCGCATTGCTGGTCCTGATGCCACTTTTACCATGAAAATGACCCCCCGAGGTGAAGAGCAAGTTTCATGGAAGGGGGGTAAGTTGTATATGCTTGACAGGGCAAAGGTGAGCGCAACATATGTGGGAATCACAGAGGAATTATGCTGCTCTCCGTGCTAGGCAAGACTGCTAGAGCTGCTCTGACGGAATAGGTTAATATGCCATACATGCGCCAAGGAGATGACGTGCAACTTGCAGGGAAGCCTGCTCAACAGGTCCTCTTTGGAGTGCAGACTCTTCGAAGCTTCTTGAGGAACAATAGAGCGGCGCAAAAAAGTTGTGGGATCATTTCCCTTGATGTAGCGGCGGCCTTTTACAGGACTCTCCGTCAGATCTCAGTTGGAGCAACAATGGCAGATGAAGACATAGCAAGAGTGGTTAAAGACCTTGGGGTGGAGCCAGATGTGATGCATCTCATTCGAATTCGAGGTCAAACAGCCTACACAGAACTTGGCGCAAATGCAGTACAGCAGGCACCGGCGAGAGAAATTTGGAGGACACATACTTCATCAGTGGCCAAGAATGTGTTGCTACGTCAAGAGGGACACGACCCGGAGATGCCTGGGCGAAGTTGATCTATATTAACGTTCTCTTTAGCCACATACTGAGAAAGGGACAGAAAGAGCTTTCAGGGGCAGGTCTGACGTTATCCATTCCTGAGTTTCAGGAACGAAACCCCCTCCAGGACGAGCCAGGCGAAAATCTCCTGGACGGCTTTCATACCACGTGGGCAGATGATATGGCAGTCCTGCTCCAGTTCACGGATGCATTTTCCATCGAAAGACAGCTTTCGCATGCTACCTACATTGTAGTCCAGGTTCTGCGGGAGCATGGACTGCAAGCTTCCCTTGGACAACGCAAAACTGCAGCATTGGTGCTGACTAGAAACAAGGGGCAGTGCGTGTGAAGAGAAGACTTTTTCAACAGGAAGAGGCCACCATCTCTGTTTTGATTGGATAATGTGATCCAGCTTCCTCCTGTACCAGCTTACAAACATCTTGGAGGCTGGATCAATGCAAAGGTTAATATTTCGATGGAAATCAACAGGGGGGCCAGGAGGATTTTTCACAACAAACAGATTCCCTTGCCAACGAGATTGCATCTTTTGAATGCTACGGTGATGCCCACTTTTCTTTGCGGGGCCGGGGCGTGGCCACCATTCTCTCAAAAGGAGCAAGGACAATTTGATGTGGCGCTACGGGGACTCAAAGTACGGGCAACAAGTACTCTTGGAGAAAAATCAGGCAGTTTCTTAAATGCACCACAGCTCACGACATGCTGCGCTTGACGAGATTTCGACACCTTCGAGCCCTGTTGACGCACGCCCCGGACATTACCTGGAGCATTTTGCAGAAGGACCAGCCAATGATCGAGATGTACGAAGATGCAATCAGCTGGGTTGTGAAGGCGCTGGAGAGAGATGCCGAACTACCGTCCTTTTCAGATTGGGACTCATGGAAAATAAGGCAACATGGGGAAGACTTAGCAAGAAAGCATACAAAAGATACACAGCTTTTCACCTGCGCAATGATCAAGTAGAAGCATGGCATGAGGAGCTCCTTGCAGTCAGACTTATGCCGGTGGACGCACAAGTCAGGCCCGACCACAACAGCAATGCACATGTCTGCGTAATATGCACTACAGCCTTCAGCACGCCGCAAGGCTGGTTTTCGCACGCGTACAGTCGACATGGATATAGGTCAAAAGTAGGGACAGCAGCGCAAGGCGCTCATGCCCAGGATGTGACCTCAGCCTTTGCAGAATGGGTGGCCCCATGGTGTCACGCAGACAACCAACAGATGCAGGAGGCCAATCGTGCACTTCAGGAATGGTTGCGCAGTATGGCCCTGACAGGGGAGGTCATGGAGGCTTGTCCTAGAGGGGAAGCTGCAAAGAAGCAAATAGGAATTCAGCCTTGGCAGCTGAACCCAGGTTCACTTTTCCCACGAGAAAATTTTCATTTAGCGGGAGGAGGAGACCCAAGTGGATATTATTGTCGGCAGTCAAGCAGGAAATCTGAGAGACCCAAAGCAACAACAGCGGCTGCTAGCGACCATCAGGAGTGGATATGTGGCTGCATTTTTCGGCGGCCCGCCCTGTGAGAGCTGGTCGATAGCTAGATTTGAATCGATTCAATTGCACCGCGACCAGTCCGCAACGCCGCCTGTCCTTGGGGACGGCTGGACCTGACAGTTCGGGAAGGAGAACAGGTGGCCGCAGGCAACGAACTTGTGGGATTTGCTCTTCAAAGTATGACGGAGCAGGCTCATCGAAGTCTTTCGGTCCTCGAACACGCTGATGATCCCGAAGAGGGGGGCGTGTCACCAGGACACTCCCTCAATACGGCGCACTACGATCTTGCAGTGGCTGAGGGACACTGGCTACTTCCACGAAATCCGCCTCCTGCAAGGACGCCTAGGCACCCAGCCCGAAGCCAACGCGGCTCGTAGTGGCTGGGGTGGACCGCAATACGACGCAGGATCTGCTTCAGCAGTTCCAGTCTCCTAGCTGTGCAATGGGCACTTCCATCGGACTGGAGAAGGGCAAGTGGAAGACCGGCAAGTTGAAGGAATATGCAGAGAAGCTTTGTTACTTCTTAGCTTCCTTGGTTTCTGCGTGGCTCCGAAATCGGAGAGAGAGGGTTACCACGCCACCAAGTCTAGAATGGCTGAGAGCGCTCCATGTCAAAGACATGATGACCACTGCGCCCGGCCCGGACTTTAACCCTCATTCTTAATTCAAGAATTCAAGCAATAGGCTGAGTTCGTTGACGGGCACCAAGCGTGCAATGAAATGAAATGAAAAATTCGGAATCTTCGTGAGACGACGTGAGAACGTGCCATGTCCGGTGTTTGAAGGGTTTGAGATTGCTTGATGCGCAAGACAAACTCCCCTGGTTCAGTGATTTTGTGATTGAACGGCTCCTTTGACTTGGGATAGTCAGGTCATTTACTAGCAATCCAGAGAATTAGTCCCCTCATACTCTGCTAGCTTTACTGAAACGAATGAGAATTGGATAGTGCCTGCAGGAAGGTTCTTGCAGAGTGTGACATTGCAATCAGCACAGCTGCCATTCCTGGCCGTCCTTCTCCGCTGCTGATCACAAAAGAAGCAGTCGCAGGTATGAAACCCGGCAGTGTGGCTCAGCAAGTATCAGAACATTTGCTCTTTCCTTTGGTCCATTTCTTCCCATGTTTCAGTCCCTCTTACCATATATAAGTTCTTCTGCTGCGATCGTTTTCGACTGTGAGGTCATTGTGGATCTCGCAGCTCAGGGTGGTGGCAATTGTGAGCTAACGAAGCTGAATGAAATCGTTACAACAGCCAACGGTGTTACCATCATTGGCTATGCAGATATGCCAGCTCGTGGCTTGATTTTCCACTTTGAACATAGTTTTAATGTGCTTGTGTTTGGTCACGTTGCCACACTAGCTTCCCGGTTTTCCAAGACAACTCTGGGGACTCGGCTATTCTCCAGACCTTGTCTGAACTTTCCAGGTATGGCAAGCCAAGCCAGTACAATGCAACTTGCCATTGCCTTGCGCATGTGATCATGTCCAATCTCGGTGACATAGAAAGACACTCACCTTTAAGATGACTCCTTTGTGAAAACGATTTTGAGGTATGCCCAGAACATGTGTAGCTCGGACGCAAATCTCCGATGGGAGGGCAACTACGTGGTTGTCATGTCCCTTGGTCCAAGGCAACCTCCTTCGCCACATTCACGGCAAGGGCAAAGCGGCTGACTTCATGAAGAACTTCCTGGGAGCTCTGGATGCAGGCGAGAGGCAAACGTTACACTTGTCCAGAGAAGAAGGTCCACAAGAATGATATATATAGTTCTTTTTGGGGACTCTGTAACCAACGCCATTCAGTCCAAGCTTGTGTGGTTGTGCCTTTGGTTGCAGCTTCTTGGGTTCTGGTGCCTCCCTCTTTTTTCTTTTACTTCATCAGATTTATCAGGCTCCTCCTGTCGCGGGGGTTAAAAGAAACATCAGACATCTTTCGCACTACTGCGCGACCTGGATAAAGAAACCCATCCTTTTTTGTTCAGGTGAAGAGGGCGACATTGTGTCGCGCAGCATTGTTTGCTCCAGGGATGGAAAGCTGGTTGCAGCCTGAGAGGATTTGCAAAGCTTCAAAAGAGAGAAAGTGAAAGAGAGAGGGTGAGAAAGGATGAGTTGAACAGGATGTTCACAGGAGGAGGGAAGCAAGGATGTCTTCCAGTTGATGTTCATGCAGGTTTGTATGCATTCTTGCAATAATTTTTTTTGATTCAGGTCTTGCCCCAAAAATGTCTTCCAGTGTTGGATGCTAGCTGTGGCATCGTGTCCGAACCTCCCTGCCGCAATGCAAAAGATTGTGGAGGTCCAGGCTCCAATCAAGTAATCCGCAAGAATGAAGCACTGCAACATACTTCACGGCATATTGACAAGTCACATGCAACTTTGCCGCGGGCACATCAAAATCGCAATCTTCCCCGAGTTTTTGACACGACACTCATTTCGTGCGAGACGGTTGCTGTGGAAACAGCAAAATCGCAATCTTCCTGCAGTTTTTTAATACTTGACCCTTATTTCGTTCGACAGGGCTGCTGGGGACCTATGGAAATCACAACAATCCCACAGTTTTTGACACTTAGACCATGTTGGGGACTACTGGAAATTGCAATATTCTCACTGTTTTTGACACTTGACACGCATTGTGCGCGAGAGGGTTGTGTTTCGTGGTGACTCCACGGCGCAACCCCTGGCCAAAGAAAGATATGATAATACATATTATCACAGTCTAACTACTATTTTTCAGTTGTTGTTTTGGTACTTTTCACGTTGCAACGCACAGAACTTGAAAAACATCAGAAAAACAGCAGCTCTTGCCACACTACTTGCCGGGCACTTTTGCCAAGCACATTTGCCGCATAAATCCTTGAGTGTTTACGCTTCCAGGGAAATGTCAAATCCTATTAGTGAAAATAAGGGGAGAGAAGAGAAGAGAAGAGAAGAGAAGAGAAGAGAAGAGAAGAGAAG